GGTGGCGAGATGTTAACTACCTCGCTTGGTATGCAGGAGGCCGTGGGTTAAATCCTGACCCTGACGCCTGCTGTATATTTCGAGCTCAAATGTCTCTTTCTCTGGTCGTGTTGATTTTCTCCGAGTCCTCGGGTTTTTTCCCCGTCCAAATAAAAAATCAACATCAGACGTTTAGATGATATGGCTGCTATAAATGTCCACGTGATAATCCACTTGGTTGGGCTATCAATTGCGGCCAGGTCGCTACTGAAATTGAGCTAATATCTGATTGGGCTTTGCCTGGTAAATAAAATAGTTTGTAATAGTTTAGTGTGTTGATGGCGGTATTAAGGAACACATATAAATACTGTTGCTTATCAGGATGTAAAAAAGCACAACAGTGTACGCGTTTCGAAATGTGTGATTTATCCGTTTACGTTTTAACACATGTTAGAACATCCCATTCGCTGATAGAGCTAATAGTAAGACTACTAACATATCTATAATGCATGTGTTTTGTGCAATGAATATTAAACATGTTTATATAATTACTTTTTATGCAGTGTAAACTTCATCATCGTCACCTTTAGCCATGGTCATTCCACTGCAAGGTGAATACATCCCCAAGGCTGTCACCGTCTCTCGCGATGTTGCGATAGCAGAGTAATATGGAGGGAATAAGGAGGCCACTCAGTATGTGTACACTGAGAATGTATATATTTAGCATGTTTATATGGAGTATGTGTATACTCAGTTGCCTCCTTGTCATCTTTCTATCGCTACTGCCATGGTTGTTATTCCTGTGAACGTCACTTATTGATTCCTCTACCCATGTTCGGGACTCAGTCTACCAGAGTGATTGTTTGTTTGCCTCATCCGTACTGTGTTTAACCACCATTGTGGAGGTCACAAAAACACATTCAACCAATCACCCCCTTACTCATTCACTCACCAACCCACCCACTCTTCCAGTCTCCTACTCAATCACCCACTCACCCACCCACTGTAGGTAAAAACACTTCGCTTTGCTGCGTCTTTCCTCGAACTGCTCCACGTTCGAAACCATCATCTGTTTTTCCCAAGCACTTTACAATAACTCTGCTCAATTCACGAATCGTGTAAACTCAGCCATTACAAAGTCAATAGGTGCTGTTTGTAGCTCGCCACTTGCCGTTTTGGGTGCCTTGGGCCTATGCCTTGTAACCGTAAAACAACATCTTCAAGGATTATTAATATGAAAAAAACATATTGTGTATGTAAATGTCAGCTTACAGAATTGAGTGAGGACAACATTTATTGATGCATTTAATGATAACACGCTCCCCCCACTGCCACCAATTCCATGAATCGTCAGAATCCAAGGTCACAGTTTGATTCAATAATTGATTTGTTTGTTAATTCCCTTTAACCTGGTGGGGCATTATTACTTTTTTTAATCCCGCCCGCGTAATTTTGTCCACTCGATTGGCCCAAACGTTAGATCTGCATATAACTTTAATACGTCCTCATCAATACTCATACACATCTCTGACCATTGTTCGATGCAATGAAAATATGATTGAGACTTTGAATGCAGTTGTTAAGTAAACGGCATCGCCAGGCTCCTAAATTCAAACCCAGGATTCATGAGTGCCAGCTCAGTGCCGAGACATGGCCATTCGCTCCTGCAGTTACCAAGTCAAGATCGTTTGGAATAGTTGCAAATAAGTAGAATGTTAATCAAATTGTTTGATAAACGTATTGACAGTTGACCAATGTTACAAATTACTACCTTGCTGAGTGGCTATTGAACAGCAAAGAGATTGGGTATGGATAGACCTTCTGGGGTGTCGCTGGGTCATTGCGTGGACTTTTGTGTCAATTTGGTGATGTTTTGAAAGTGCATCGTTGCACGTGGCATTTATATGTTTAAATTGGATTGAACAACGTTTATTTTGTCCGTGCGATGGGTGAGATTACTAGGAGGAGCCGGTTCCCCTTCGATTCCGTGACGAATGAAGTCCACCCAATGTTTTTTCCCAGCAAATATCTCAATGTGTTTGGGAATCTGACCGACTTCGAACATAACCCAATCGACATCAGCTCCACATCCGGACGGGTTGATCTGATTTACGGGAAGTGTTAGCATTGGTTTGAGGCGGATGCCCGTTCAGATGAGGCTGTGATCCCGTACGGGGAACCGACTCTGCACTCCGATTCTGTTTGCTCAGCACCTTTCGGCAACGGGTCTCAAGAGCAGCAGCTCAGCGCTTGCCAACTCAAGCCGGCAACCCGTGGCGGAAATAAATTTCACATTCCTATGGCGCAGCTATCTCTGTTGATGTCCGAATAGGTGATACCCAATGCATCTATTACGGCGGACTGATAGGAGGAGTCAACGATTGCGTTTATTTACGAGGGTCACAATCTGAAGGTTGTGAGTTTAAAAATGCGGTTGTGGGTTAACCTAGCCCATCATCACTCCATGGTAGATACAATAAAGTACCACTTTGTGGAGAAGTCCACGGTGGTTGTCCTATCGATAGACCCGCCTCCGCCATAGAATTGTGGAAATTCCACCACCGACTGACGCAGGGCTCCAAAAACAGGAGATGAGTACCACGACAACCTCGTGTGAGCAGGAATCGCTTTGTCGTCTAGGCCGATGTGGCAGCACCCCAGAAAGTGGCGATTTGTCCACTGGCAATCGGCAGCGAGTTTTGCTTAGCGCGACCTCGCATGTCGGGAGGAAGACGGACAGGTGCAAGTTACGGCGAAAATAGACAGCAACGCGCGCGCGTGTGAACAGTGCTGCTGCTGTGCGATGCAACTCCTTTAAAACGGAGAGCTCATTGGCAAGACCACGGAGACGATAATAACTAGATAAAAGGGGGGGGAGGGGGCGCTGCCGCAGCGGTCCGCGAACCTGAGTTCGATTCCCGGTCACGGCCAACAGTGGTACGTGATGTCCGAAGCGGTGAAGTATGGCCAAACAGCGCCCATTACCTACGTGACGTGCGGAAATCCTCCAAACGGCGGCGGGCTGTGTACGTGTAACTGTGTGAATGCAATAATCATTTTTGTAGTTAAAGGATGCAATTGATATGGAATGTAACTAAACGGCTTCCAGTTGCAATTAATAGCATTAGGAACAGTACTAGGGTTGTCGAAATCATTGTTTGCATTACAAATGCATTGCAATGTATACATATGAGATATTAAAGGAGCTGCCGTGGGGTGTATTAGCTCGCACAATGGAATCACAATCTACACGCCGTCGGTTCGATTCCATCTCTTGGTGCGGCAGTTGAAACAATGGGTTAAGTTCTTAAATCATCCCCACCACTTCTGTCCACCCCGCAGTATAAATGTGTTCATTACCATTCGTCCATCGGCAGCAGTTCTGGTGCGTGTGGGTAAGCCCTCTAATGGCATCTGGTCGGCGTGGAAGAGTAGACCAAATACTCACTGGAACGCCCTCTGATGGAGGCTCTTCCGCCAGCAGTGGCGTGAGTGAACACCTCCAGGGCTGCGCCTTTAGCCGTCAAACTGAGTAACGAAGGCAAAATGTGGCACGCAGTGATTTTGGCTTGCGCTGTGCGGTTTGTACGTTTTTGTGCGTGCCAGTCAGCGATAAACATTTATGCATTTCTATCGAATACGATAATCGATTCCTGACCCCTAAACTAGTGGAGCCGTTTTTTTATTAAACCTACGCGAATACTTTAGCTTTTGGCATGCCCAAACATAAACTGTGATAGGGTGGGGAGATGTTAACTACCTTGCCTGGTATACAAGAGGTCGTGGGTTCGAGCTCGACTTTTACGTCCGTTGTATATTTGGATTTTGCACATTCTCTCAGTGGTCTTGTGGATTTTTTTCCGGGTCCTCCGATGTTTCCCTCCACATTTAAATGAACAAACATTTCGAGTAATTTGGTTGCTATAAAAGTCCACGTGATTAGCCACTTCGTTGAGCTATCATGTGTGGCAAGGCCGTTTATGAAATATAGCTATGTGTAGATCAGTGGGCCTTACCTGGTGAACTAAAAACTGTTTCGTTTATTTGAATTTACCCGAGACAATCCCTGGGAAATCTCAGTGACATAACTCTTGATGAGCTCTTCATTTTAGATGCTTGGCTGATCCCGTGTGGAGTAGATTACCTGTGCTGAGAACCCTGAGATCCCGGGAACTCTCTCACCGCTGGGCGAGCGTCGAGCCGGCTCCACTGAGATTCGGCGACAAACCCTACTTGCTCTACTGCCCCCTACAGGGACCTCTTAGTCGCGCACATCGTGGCTCCGTCTCTCCGCGACCCACCAACCCCGCCTTCAAGCCGCTAGATCACAAGATTGCGTATCTGCACACAGTTACACACGCACGCGCAATATAACGATGATGGTCGTGGTCACGAATGTGGGTAACAACATAATTAAGCAGACAATTCGTCTCCTTCCTTCTCCCATATGTCCCCTCCACGTAACACATTTTTTTTTTAAACACATCCCATCAGCCATCATTTCAGCGACATTGAACTGTAAAATGTCTATAAGCACGGAGCGTCTCTGTTAGACGTGGGTCCTGATTTGTGTTTTCATTGAGAAATTCCTCCACAGAGGCCGACCGCGCTTGGGCGCACCGACACGAGGGAGACTTCGACACTCGGGCCCGCGTTTAGTGCCCGGCTGCTGCTGCACCCTGCGCCATCTCGCCCCCGTCTCGGCTCTGGCTCCGCCGCTGTTGCGGATGCACATCACGGCGGCGGCAGGGACGGGTGGCTGGGCACCGCGCTTGGTACCACCACAGCTCCCCCGTGCCCACTCGCTGCCCGCCCGCCCGCCCGCTCCGAGAGCGCGGCTGGTTCCCCGTGCAAATCCTCGATCATTGCGCGAGTCCCCCCCCTCCCTCTCCCTCCCTCTCTTTCCACCACCACCATCATCACCACCACCTCCCACCCCCCTCCACTATCCATCCCTTCGCCCTTATATGTCTCTGTCTGTCCCTCTCTCCGTGTCCCACTCTCTCGCCGCCGTCTTCCCTCTCTCTCGTCTGTCGTCCCTCTACTCCTTCGTCTGTCTCTCTCGCTGCTTCTCCACCCCCTCACCTCTCATCACTAACATCCACTCCTCCCGTCTGTCTCACTCGCTGTCGCTCTCCCCCACCCCAACCACCCCTCCACCTCCCCTCACCACATCTCCTCTCATCTCTCCATCCTTGCACGCGTCCCCCCCCCCCCTCTCTCTGTTTGCTCTCTCGTTCCGTCGTCGTTTATTTTCGCTGCAAAGCGACGCCGTTCCACCGGCCGAGATCTCCTCTCCTCTCTCTTTTCGCGTCTGCGTCTCTGCGTCGGCATCTCCGCTAAACGCTCCGCTCTGGTCCGGTCTCTCTCGTCGTGGTGATCGTTTTGATTGATTTGCGACCGCGGCGTCTGAATTGCGCCGCTCGTGCCCGTGCTGCGCCCGTGGACATCGCGAGGCGACGAGGAGCGGGCAAAAAGGAGGAGCGTGAGGATTCATGTTCACAGCGGAGTGAGTGTCAAGGGCTCACGTTGCCTTGCTAGCTGTGCGTGCGCGTGTGCTGCTCTGCCTGTGTCCTGTGTGTACCCCCTCGTGTGCCGTACCGGCCTTCATAGGTGGTCACTAACAGCACTTGCCCCAACAGTCTGTTCAGGTTATACGAGGGATCTTTTTATTTGTCTGCCGTTGTCGTCTGCTCGCGAACGGCACTTGCCCCAACGGTCTGTTAAGGCTGTACGGGGGATCTTTGTCTTTGCATGCGCTGTCTGTGTGTGTGCCTGTTTGTGTGTGTGTGCTGTGTCTGTTCCGTGACCACCTGCCAGCAAGTCTTCAATACCGCACGTGGCCTTTAAGTACACCTAGCCTGGCACAAAGCGCCTTGGTGACGTCACCGATACTTAGTGGCCAATGGCGGCTGTTGTGTGATAGTATGTGCTGTGCGTGTGTGTGCTGTGTGTGCTGTGCGTGCTGCGTGAGAGTGTGTGCTGTGCGTGTGTGTGCTGTGCGTGCATGTTGCGTGTGTGCTGTGAGTGTGTGCTGTGCGTGTGAGTGTGTGCTGTGCGTGTGTGCTGTGCGTGTGAGTGTGTGCTGTGAGTGTGTGCTGTGCGTGCGAGTGTGTGCTGTGAGTGTTTGCTGTGCGTGCATGCTTCATGTGTGCTGTGAGTGTGTGCTGTTTGTGCTGCGTGAGAGTGTGTGCTGTGAGTGTGTGCTGTGCGTGCATGCTGCGTGTGTGCTGTGAGTGTGTGCTGTGCGTGCTGCGTGAGAGTGTGTGCTGTGTGTGTGCTGTGCGTGCATGTTGCGTGTGTGCTGTGCGTGCTGCGTGAGAGTGTGTGCTGTGCGTGTGTGTGTGTGCTGTGCGTGCATGCTGCGTGTGTGCTGTGTGTGCTGTTTGTGCTGCGTGAGAGTGTGTGCCGTGCGTGCTGTCTGTGATGTGAGTGCATGCTATAGCTGCTTGAGTGGGTTGTGTGTTAATGTGCTGTGAGTGAGTGCTCCGTGTGTGTGCTGTGTGTATGTGTGTGTGTGCTGTGTGTATGTGAGTGTGTGTGTGTGCTGTGTGTATGTGAGTGTGTGTGTGCTGTGTGTATGTGAGTGTGTGTGTGCTGTGTGTATGTGAGTGTGTGTGTGCTGTGTGTATGTGAGTGTGTGTGTGCTGTGTGTATGTGTGTGTGTGCTGTGTGTATGTGAGTGTGTGTGTGCTGTGTGTATGTGAGTGTGTGTGTGCTGTGTGTATGTGAGTGTGTGTGTGCTGTGTGTATGTGAGTGTGTGTGTGCTGTGTGTATGTGAGTGTGTGTGTGCCGGCCTTTGGACGTGCTCGCTAACAGAATTTGCCTAAACAGTCTGGTAAGGGTAGACAGGGGTTATTTGTTGCTGTGTGTATCAGTGTGTGGGTTTGTGCTGTGCGTGAACGTGCGCAAGCTGTGTGCAATGTGTGTGTGCCCTGTGTCAGTGTAATGTGAGTGTATGTTGTCTGTGCGTGCTGTGTGTGAGTGTATTCTGTGTGCGAGTGTATGATGTGTGTCAGTATTCTGTGTGAGTGTGTGCTGTGTGTATGCTGTGTGTGTGCTATGTGTGCTGTGTGCTGTGAGTGTATTATGTGTGCGTGTATGTGCTGTGTGTGGAATATGTGTGTGAGTGTATGCTTTGTGTGCTGTGTGTGAGTGTATGCTGTGTGTATGCTGTGTGTGTGCTCTGTGTGAGTGTGTGCTGTGTGAGTATTGTGTGTGCTGTGTGCGAGTGTGTGTTGTGTGAGTGTGTGCTATGTGTGAGTAGTATGTCTGAGTGTGCTGTGAGTGTGTGCTGTGTGTGCTGTGTATGAGTGTGTGCTGTCTCAGTGTGCTGTGTTTATGCTGTGTGTGCTGTGTCTGAGTGAGCTGTGTGTATGCTGTGTGTGTGCTGTGTGTGCGACTGTGCTGTGTGTGATTGTGCTGCGTGGCCGTGTCTGGCACCACCAGAGGTTTGGAACCGCACGCGTTCTGAGACGGCAGGTTTGTGTGCTGTTCTTCTAATTGTGTGCGCTCGTGACATTTTGTAACTCTTGTTTCGTTAAAACAGATTTTTGAGTTCATGCTGATAACAAAGGACAAATTAACAAGGTAGAAAATTGCATCGGTCTATACCGTACATTTCAAACGCACCTCTGCAAATCCATTGCACATACTACCAGTTACGCATATTATACACGTACGCGTAAGCATGGAGTGAATGTGAGCAGGCATGTGCCGGGCACATTCACAATTGACTCGTGTGTTACACATCAATCCCAGAGAATGCAGTGTTGTTCACCGCACATACACACACGCGCGCGCGCACACCACGTGGAATAGTGCAGTGACTGTGTGATTGTTTACACTCGTAATAACACGTGTATTTACACAAAGGCACACAGATGGCACTCACACCAATTGTATTGCACTTTAATTAGGAGTAATCTTGCATGTCATTTGTTATTACTCATATCGTTTGCATTCCAGAATGTGTTTCTATATATTGCACATTTGTACTTTAAATCTTGATCAGATGTGTGTATATATACACATTTGAATTGATTCAAGATACAATTCTGACATTTCAGTATGCAAAACATGTAATCGTTTAATAATTTACAATTGAGCGTGTTAATGACGCTCTATGCAATGTGGTACTTTATGAAAGAAAAAATATATACATTTGCGATTTTTACTCAAATCATTAGCTGCACCAGTCTGGCTCCGCTCAGGGTTACAGTAGTATATGGCGTTTTGCTTTGTCCAGTCACCGACTCCCATCGATCTCGATATATCTATATTACCGTATTACATCTCTTTGGGGGCAATAATGTCAGCGGGACCGTAGAACTCTCTCCAATGTCATCGCAAAAGCAGCGGTGTGCCTCTGGCAGTGTCTACCTACATTGTTATAATCGGGTGGCACCATTGGCGCTCAAGAGGTAAAACAATTCACGCAATGCCGGTCCTGCAATACAACAACGCAAGCGCATTAATGAAGATTCCGTCGAGCGTTCCCTATGCGCGGTAATGATATTTGTCCTCCAAGCCAAAGCTCAATGCGAATGTGCACACTGCTGAGACGCGCGGCTATTGGAATTGTTGGCACGCGGATAAATGGATGATGGCTGTTTGATGAATGAAACGGTGAATTAATGAATGAATTATTGAATGCGTGCGTTGTCGGCTTGTTGCATGTGCTATTGTGATTAAGTGATTAAGTGAATGAGTTATTGTGTGTGTGAGAGACAAAGGCGGCCGGGCTCACAGCACTTGCCCCAACAGTCTGTTACAGGCTATAGGGGGATCTTTGTGTGAGTGAGAGTGAGTGAATGTGTACATATGTGGGTAAGTGTATTAGTGTGTGGGATTTGTGAATGATTAAATGAGTGAGTTGATGTGTGAATGTGTGTGTGAGTAATTGAGTTAGAGTAGGTGTGGGACCATGTGAGTGACTGAAAATTAGTGATTGACTGAGTGAGTGTGTACAATTAGTAACTGAGTGAGTGACTTAAGTGAGTGCGTGATTATGAGGGCGACCCGGCGTGGTGCTGACCTAGTGTGTCGTTCCGGCCTTCATAGGTGCTCGCTAACAGCACTTGCCCCAAAAGTCTGTTGCAGGCTATACGGGGGGATCTTTTACACAGTGTGAGTGATTGTGTGTGTGACTCACAGCGTAAGTGAGTGGCTGAGTGGCTGCATGAGTGAGTAACTAAGTGTGTGACTGACTGTATGAGTGAATGACTGTGTGTGTCTGTAAATGCCTGTTTGTGAGTCAATGTGCGAGTGAGCGCCTGAGTGTGTGAGTAACTGAGTGCGTGACTGACTGTATGAGGCAGTTACTGTGTGAGTGTATGCGAGTGCCTGTGTAAGTGAGTTCCTGTGTGTGAGAGTCACCGTGCGAGTGAGCGCCTGAGTTAGTGAGTCCCTCTGTGTATGTGAATCACTGTGAAAGTCACTGTTTGAGTACCTCTGTATATGAGTAACTGTGCGAGTGAGTACCTGAGTGAGTCACTGTGTGAGTGAGTCACTATGCGAGTGAGTGCCTGACTGAGTTCCTGTGTGTGAGTCACTATGTGAGTGAGTGGCTGAGTGAGTTCCTGTGTGTGTGAGTCACTGTGAGTAAGTGCTGAGTGAGTTCCTGTGTGTGAGAGTCACTATGTGAGTGAGTGCCTGAGTGACTTCCTGTGTGTGTGAGTTACTATGTGAGGGAGTGGCTGAGTGAGTTCCTGTGTGTGTGAGTCACTATGCGAGTGAGTGCCTGAGTGAGTTCCTGTGTGTGTGTGATTCACTATGTGAGGGAGTGGCTGAGTGAGTTCCTGTGTGTGTGAGTCACGATGTGAGTGGGAGCCTGAGTGAGTTCTTGTGTGTGTGAGTCAATGTGAGTGAGTGGCTGAGTGAGTTCCTGTGTGTGTGAGTCACTATGTGAGTGAGTGCCTGAGTGAGTTCCTGTGTGTGTGTGATTCACTATGTGAGTGAGTGCCTGAGTGAGTTCCTGTGTGTGTGTGAGTTACTATGTGAGTGAGTGGCTGAGTGAGTTCCTGTGTGTGTGAGTCAAGATGTGACTGAGTGCCTGAGTGAGTTCCTGTGTGAGTCACTATGCGAGTGAGTGGCTGAGTGAGTTCCTGTGTGTGTGAGTCACTATGTGAGTGAGTGCCTGAGTGAGTTCCTGTGTGTGTGTCACTATGTGAGTGAGTGCCTGAGTGAGTTCCTGTGTGTGAGTCACTATGTGAGTGAGTGCCTGAGTGAGTTCCTGTGTGTGTGAGTCACGATGTGAGTGAGTGGCTGAGTGAGTTCCTGTGTGTGTGAGTCACTATGTGAGTGAGTGCCTGAGTGAGTTCCTGTGTGTGTGAGTCACGATGTGAGTGCGTGCCTGAGTTAGTTTCTGTGTGTGTGAGTTACTATGTGAGTGAGTGCCTGAGTGAGTTCCTGTGTGTGAGTCACGATGTGAGTGAGTGCCTGAGTGAGTTCCTGTGTGTGTCACTATGCGAGTGAGTGGCTGAGTGAGTTCCTGTGTGTGTGAGTCACTATGTGAGTGAGTGGCTGAGTGAGTTCCTGTGTGTGTGAGTTACTATGTGAGTGAGTGCCTGAGTGAGTTCCTGTGTGTGAGTCTATGTGAGTGAGTGCCTGAGTGAGTTCCTGTGTGTGTGAATCACTATGCGAGTGAGTGGCTGAGTGAGTTCCTGTGTGTGTGAGTCACTGTGTGAGTGAGTGCCTGAGTGAGTTCCTGTTTGTGTGGGTCACTATGTGAGTGAGTGCCTGAGTGAGTTCCTGTGTGTGTGAATCACTATGCGAGTGAGTGGCTGAGTGAGTTCCTGTGTGTGAGTTACTATGTGAGTGAGTGCCTGAGTGAGTTCCTGTGTGTGTGAGTCACTATGTGAGTGAGTGGCTGAGTGAGTTCCTGTGTATGTGAGTGAGTGCCTGAGTGAGTTCCTGTGTGTGTGAATCACTATGCGAGTGAGTGGCTGAGTGAGTTCCTGTGTGTGAGTCACGATGTGAGTGAGTGGCTGCGCGTGTGAGTCTGCGCTGCTGCTCATGCTGCTGCTGCTGCTGCTCGCCACACGCTCTGTGCAATACCGCGGCGCCCCCCACCGCAAGTAGCTGGAGTTGGTTGTCGTGCGCTCTCACTCGCGAGTCGAAGCTCAGAGAGAGAGAGAGCGCAGCGCTGCGCCGAGCGAGAGAGCGAGAGAGAGCCAAGAGAGCTAAGCACTCTCCGTGGCCCCGTGTCTCTTCCCTCGCTCTCCTCATCCCCGACGCTCACAGTGATGGAAGTGCTCGGAGTGAACGTCGCCTCGATGTATCTCGCAGCCTGCGTCGTCTGGATCACGAGGTAAGGGACCACACAGCCCCTCGGGGCATCAGCATCATCACCACCACCACCATCATCATCTCGACTTTGTTGCTGTGGTTTACGCACGCTCTGTGCCTCGGTGATGCCGCTACGCTCAAGTATGAGCTCGCGCCTGTGTGTGCGTAGCGGCCCATTCTTTTGAGCGTGGGGCGAGCGAGTGGTGTTTCGTTACGGGTCATGCTCAGCTATGCGATGTTCGGATATTGCCGTTTGCCTCGCTACATCATCTCCAGTGCTGGTGTCAATCGTCGGAGCAAAAACGACGCGAGAACAACGGATGGTGTCTGTAGAGTGTTGGGGGGGGGGGGAAATCAACTCACGTCACGCGGCATGCAAAGGTAAAATACGAATGAGTATACAAGTGACTTGCATCGGTTGAACTGTGTTAATATTGACTGCGGTATAATAATAATGCTGTGTTGTAATACCCCAGTTTCATTTCATGCCGAGTCATTACTGGATTGTAACATGCAGGATGATTGCATTACGAAAACAAAGATCCCCCGTATAGCCTGAACAGACTGTAGGGGCAAGTGCTGTTAGCGAGCACCTATGGCACATCATGTCCGGCCGCCTTTGTCTCCATCGTGGCGATGTTTACACACCGCACACGGTACTAATTTGAGGCTAAGTCGACCTAGGGGACGTCCAGGACCGGTTCAGATAATCGTCATTGATAATATCCGTGAGCGGGAATCGAACTCGGGTCGCCGGGTTCGTATCGAAGCGTGCTAACTGCTGCGCCACCGCTCCCCATTATGACATTAATACAGTACATTGTCAAGCATAACGTGGACAATGACGTTCATATGCAAGAGTGAAAGTCTATCATTTTGTATATCAATGTGTGTTTTTGCATGAATGATTCATGGGATTGGCGGAGTTATTAATTGGATGCGATGCAATTTGCCGGGTTGGGAACGAGAAATGAAAGTTAGCGTCAATTATTGTGAGCGCCGAGGGCAGTTCTTAGGTTAGGGTTAGGGCATGCTGCTGCTGATGATGATACTGTAGTAATAATCCAGCACAGACATACTCACTCACTCAGGCAGTGAGTGTGTGTGTGTGCACCAAGCGTGCGGAGTGTGTGTGTGTGGAGTTGGCCACCCACCCCCTCGTGTGCCGTACCGGCCTCCATAGGTGATCGCTAACAACACTTGCCCCAACAGTCTGTTACAGGCGCACCTAAAGCTCCGATGTGCCCGTGCTTATCATGCGTTTGAAAGCTGACGTCCCGTAACTATCAAATAGCTCACTCAGGGCTGTTTTGTTCGTGACGGGTTCATTCTGCTTTTCGCCATTCACACTCGAGGCCATTCTCATTCTTAACTTGTCAACACTCTTCGTCCGCCAGCCATGGGCTTCTGCCCGCTTATGAAACCGCGACACGCTCTTTGACAACGCCACGGCGCCGCACGGTAAACGCAGCACCGACGAGAAATCCGCTGCATCGATGAAGCATCGTCGCCAAATGCCATCGCCATGTTCAATGCTACTGCTTTCCAGGAAAGCGAAGTGTCTGGAGAAATAAATCTTCTGCAGAGCACAAAGGGTGGGATACAGCTAACTGCACACGTCTTTGTTTTAAAATAAACTGAAAAGATTTGTTTTTACCAGCTAAGGTCCAATTAACCTGTCCATATATGAAAGCTAGACGAAGCGGCTCATTACGTAGACATGTATAGCAGCCAAATACTTTAAACACACGGAGATAAATCCACGCGGCCACGGGGAGAGATAACGTGCACACTCCAAATATACAGGCATCGTCAGGGTCGGGATCGAACCCACGACCTCCTGCATACCAGGCGAAGTAGTTAACATCTCGCCACGGTAGCCACAATTAAACCACCTCGCAGATAAAGCTGGTGCCCTGAGTGAATTACTTTACACTGGAAATACGCGCTGCGATTGACTTATTAATATTTGATCTCACTGGTCCGGTGTATCACCCCTTCCCACATAGTCTATGTTATTGAGGTTTCTCTGCTATAAATGTGAATTAATTCATAATTTAGCGCTCCTTTGCACTAGTGTCTTGCGTGCGCTGTTTGCGCCGAGTTTTTGTAGTACTTCGGTGTGGTTTCACGCGCGACTTCCTCTGCGTTGCCTGCTTCACGATCGCCGTTGCACCAAGGAGACCCGACTCGGTCGTGTGTCACCCACAGCTGTGAAGCAAACGCAACATCAGTCTGACGAGTTACGGTGGTAGCAGTATGAAACCACAGTCCGCTTTGCAAGTCATTGACGGATGTTTTTAGCTGTAAATTATAATACACAGACAGGGCTTAATTTCTCACTCGCTGCTAGGCTGGCTTGAAATAGGGATTTGTCAACGTAAGACACTACCGTTAAACTCAATGCACACCGATCCATCCATCATACACTTATATTATTATACCCTATATTCCCATACTGTAATCCTATACATGGGTGTATAAACATCATGAGGCTAAAATAAGGCGAAATGGATATGGCTGCCAAATAATTCCCGCAACATTCCGGCTTAAATTAAGGACTCATTATACGCACAACAGTCACGTGTGTACATTTGATAAGGTGGGGTGGGCACGTTGGTGGTTTGAGCTTTCCGACTCAAGACTGGGAATTTACGAGAGTTCAAATCTTGGTCAGGAACGGGCTCGGCCTACCATCGCCTCTGGGCTTGGTGGGATGAGTCGACGTGGTCTCTGTCGAAGGATACTGGAATGTCCACCTCCTGACGAGAACTGCGAGCAGAGGGGGACACCGCTTACATTCTCGTGTGCGTGAGCAGGGAGACACTCGGCCTCACATTGACGGTGAGGAGGGCAGAGTCTCTCCTGAGTTGTGGCCACAAAAACACAAGTGCGTTACACAGAGCAGTAAAGTTGCCTTCGCAACCGTACTTCTTCAGGAGGGAAGAGAGACATTGATTACAATGGTTTTAAACTTTTATCATCAATGGCTGGATGACCTTTCTGCGTTCTCCGCCCAAAAAAGCGAGTGATGTGTATTTACGTTCACGGGGAGAGTTTTTTTGTTTGTTGTTAAATTAATCGTTCATCAGAACAGTACTGTAGTTGTATTCCAGTTTTGCGATGCTAAATTCTGAATCTTGCAACACTAAGATAATTTACCTCATTTGGTTTTGTGTGCATTTGTATTATGTTACGTCTTTTTTAAAACTAAAATCTCAGTGTTTATGTACCTCTCATGTGTATAGAAACTAGCTATCTTGATATCGTATATCGAGTAACACGGGACAATAGTGAGTATCAATACAAATTGTGTGGAGTATTTAATTTGAAAACTACAGAATATGGATCTCTTCATTATTCCGCATTATATACATCGTGTAACTAGATATGTACGGTATGTGTGTAAATGGCATATACATGTAATAGTGGATACATACACAACATAGTTTTGATGGTGCTGCATTGACTTTTATAGGCAGATTTGTTGGTGATACCGCATAGGCAGGGATGCATACGCACAAATAACTAACTGAACTCCACAAGTTCGCCAATGTCACTGTGGTCTTACAATGAAAATGTGTGATGGGTGACGTTTCAGGCAATGGCCCTACTCCATAGAACATCGGCACATAGAGAGGCCAGAGAGATGGAAGTGCATGAGAGTTGGAGACTGCATGATTACACTGAGAGGTCCTGAGAATATGTTTCTTAATGTTTCCTGATGAACAGTTTTAAAATTGGCACGTGAATCGTTACCCGTTCGTAGCGATTGTTACTCAACATCTACAAATGCTTCAATACTCGATATACCATATGATTATAATCATACATGTGTTCGTGCATGAACGTATTTCTATTAAAGGTAAATGTATACAAATGTTGCTGTCTCATTTGCATTACGGGTGACCGTATTGCAGCATCGTATCTTCTTGAATACAGACGGTCCACTGTGTTAAGTACAACAGATAAAATATAATTCTTCCATAAAAGTGGGTTCTCACCTGGTTATATAAATGTTTTAAAACAAGGGTCCATTGTACACATTTGTCAGCATGTATATTTAATGCACAATGCCGATTGCGGATTCACAATATTTATAACTTCCAATGAAATACACGTTAAAGGATTTTTTTTTAAGAAGCGTATTAAGAGTTACCGCGATGTCCCGGGCTTATCGCGGCGCTGAAGGCGTCGTGTTAATCACAATTTGGCGCCCGTCTGCCTCCGATTGCAGCCGCAGTTGTGGAGGGCATTCAGCAACCGCGGAGAGCGCCCGTTGACGCTGGCCGATTTATCGCTGAGGCCTCTTACCTCCAGCGGTTAGATCGCCCTGGTGATTTATCGCTTACTTCTGGCCCCGATCTTACTTTGAGCCGCTTCTCTTTGGAATTTGTGTGCCTACCGATTGCAAGTGTGTTGCGTCAAGTCGATGAACATTTACATTATTAGTCGTAGTCCAGCGTCAACGTTGCTCTCCGATGAATGTCTTATTCTTGTTGTTACTCGTTCTAAAGTTTAGTTTCAGAGGAACCGAGGAGGAACCATGACACAGTGCGATTGTTATTTGTTCACTTCAGATGTTATGTTTATGCATTTTTACATTTAAAATTGTATTCACGGACCATTAAAATTGGACGGTGTTTCAAGTGCACGTCGTTACTCTTTAAATGGGAAAACATTGTTAGCCTCATATTCATGCTAAGAGGTATCTAGTCTGTCCAAGACTTAGTGTGTGTGCGTGTGCGAGTCAATTTGATGGTATCACCTTCTGTACATTGACCAACTTTATTTAATTCATCTATCACCTGAGAGTGTGTAAACCTCTATTTTAAAAAAAATAAACCGAATTTATTGACTTTGCTCTGCGTATCTTTAAATGAAGATGCCGTCTGTGTGCAGAAAGCGCACGAGATGGTGCTGACGCGAGGAGCCATGGCTGATTCATACAGATGCCAGATTGCCCATGACCATGTTTGATTTAATTTTTAAAGCGGTATTTGTTCAGTAATTTTTTTTTCGAAATCGTTTTTTATATTCAACACGTGTTAGCAGCTGTATCACTTTGGAAGTCAAACCGTGAACTATATGCAGTGTGTTCACATCTGGCTTTGCATCATGCTGTACCCGTTTCATTTAGTATTTGAACCTGGTATGGGTCGCCAATAGGTTAACTCAGCCTATAATGAGTACTTGGGGAGAATGTTCCACCACAGCGGCCGGCAGGATTGGTGGTGATCCAAACGCTAGCGAGACAGACGAGGTGCTCACTAACAGCGTTTGCCTCAACAGGTGATGTGGGTAAGTGGGGATTTGTAAGTCGAGTGTGTTTGTGTGAATATGACGTATTTCACAATGAGGTGATTACCGTATTAGCCTGTACACTGTAATCACAATGTCTAAATCTTATTGGACTTTTTGGAATATTGTGATGCGTGTGTTATTGCTGTTATGAAGCTTCTACGTACTTACACATCCACAACGATTTTGTCAACCCGCTGCTGGATGAGGACCTCCCCATGCTGTATGGATCTTGGGGGTTATTTGACCATACTTCACCACTTCTGTCAGTGTGGGTTGGTGAAAGTGGGGGAGCATAGAGGTCAGAGTATAGTAGTACAGTACAACGTTGGATTTTGGTGCACTGAAGCCTCTATAGATTATGTTAAATATGCGACATTATTTTAATCAAATTATATAAACGTATTCCTTGATGTAAAGTATGCTTACAGTGGTTCTCCTACTGTATGGAGACATGAACACGTGGAATTCCCAGCATCGGCTCAAGACTTTCCATGTCCACTTGAGCAGGAGACACCGGTTTATCTCCGAATCCCTACAGCCGATACGTGCACTCTCAGTATAGCACAGGACACAGTACAGCAAGTCGCAGGGTGGAGTGGTGGCTGGTCAAATCTGAATTAGTCCTGGCCCCCACCCCGCACTGACCAACGTGGTCAGTGCGGTCAAACAACCCTCAGGACCAGCAGGGCATTCGCAAGTTTTCATCGAACAGGAGATGTACAAAAGGACTGAACGATATTGTTGCACTGTAATGACACGTGTTTTGTCACCTGTTTATAACCCCGAGCCAGCGAGGCGAATTGTGTTTTCCTAAGGTGCGGGCGAGTATATCGAAAGTCCAACTCACTGTTGACTTCCCCGTAAAGTGTTACTTGTTTTATCGACCCCAGAGGGATGGTGGGATGAGTCACCCCCCCCCCCCCACCACTACAATGATGGTTTAAACTCACAACCGTCCGAATTCATACAACTCACTTCACCATAAAGCCACCTGGCCGGATTGTGTTTTCGGTGTTGTATATATGCAAATGAGGGTCTACAGTCATTGCTTGCTGAATTATTGGATGTTGTCTTTGCTTATCCAGCCAAGACGTCTTTTTAGCCGTGACGGCGTCGCGAGCCAATAACATCACGATCATCACTCGCATGCTGGACGGTCTGCTGGATGGATACGACTACAGGCTCCGGCCAGGTCTTGGAGGTCAGAGCACGTGCCACACACAAGCATCGACACGAGACGAAAGCAAAGGGGAGGTGGGGGGGGTGACCCCCCCAACGTAACCTCACACTTCTCAAGTTGCAAACTAATGTATGTTTGTGCGTGCGTATGTATGTTGAACTTCTTTCGCACTGTACGTAGCCAACCGTGCTAATCGGAGGTACGGGGAAGGTCGACAAACTAAACACAAAAATCTCTTCTAAAGAAATGAGTTTTTAGTTTAGAATGATGACGATAATATTGCCACGAAACCCTAATACGTTTTTGTATCTTACAGATTAGTATCACTCCTTTTCTATTGTTTGTATTAGACACGTATCTAATCTAAGAGTTTTTAATTCTGAGATACCACAGAGCAAAATACTTGCCGTGTTCAGTTAGTTAGTGGCTATTCAACACAATGCAACCTTTGGTTCTTTAGAGGATAGGGTTACTTAAAAGTTTGGAACGCAGGGAAAGATGTGCTCCAATTCTTCGTATACTTGTTAAAACAATCTCAAAATCGGGCCTAGATAAGATATTTCAAGTGATCCAAATCTGTTTTGTTTTGAATGTGACGTCACGGGAAAATGCACGTCAGTTTTTTTAATACTTTGCTAAAATACACAAACTTTTATATTAAAATTAAATTCGTACTAAACTGATGCAAATGCATTATAAATATGGGAATGCAATGGTTTTCATTCTAAATGAGTGAATTTGTGAAATGTAGTGCATAAACATTGGACGATATTAAAATGCAATACATTTAAATTCAAAAACATAAAAATATGAAATAAAATCAGAAACGGGGCATAAAAATCTAATCATGTCATATCCAAAATGAATGAAATCTGAAAGTCATCCCAAGGATGCAGCATTTTGTGGGTATAATCAGGAAGACGAGATTGTGATGCCTGAGGCAAATCTGTTGAACACTAACGCATACATCGCTTGAAAAAAACCCACAAATAGTACACATGTACACAAATTGTACACAAGTGTGTGAACACGTGTGTGCTGTGCTACGTTAGTGTAGCGGTTAGCGCGCTGCGCTACGAACCCGGCCACCTAAGTTCGATTGTCGCTTACGGCCATCACCAAGAACGATTATCTGAACCGGTCCTGGGCCACCCCGAGCTCGACTGAGCCTCAAATGAGTACCTGGTGCGATGTGTGAACATCCCCACTAGGGAGACAAAGGCGGCCGGGCGTGGTGATGGCGAGCACCTATGCAGGCCGTGTCGGCCTGCATAGGTGCTCGCTAGCAGAACTTGCCCCAACAGTCTGTTTCGCCTAGATTCCGGACCTTTGTCTTTGCACGTGGTGGGATAGTGATGGTGCAGTGCTCCGCAGCTTGTGTTGCAATACCAACAACTCTGCCTTTTGTAAGTGACCTTAGCCTGAATCTCTCCTAGATCATCTCAGCTCGAGTTGGCCTGGTGCATTGAGGGAAAAAAGTATTTGATCCCCTGCTGATTTTGTACGTTTGCCCACTGACAATGAAATGATCAGTCTATAATGGTAGGTTTATTTGAACAGTGAGAGACAGAATAACAACAAAAAAATCCAGAAAAACGCATGTCAAAAATGTTATAAATTGATTTGCATTTTAATGAGGGAAATAAGTATTTGACCCCCTCTCAATCAGAAAGATTTCTGGCTCCCAGGTGTCTTTTATACAGGTAACGAGCTGAGATTAAGAGCACACTCTTAAAGGGAGTGCTCCTAATCTCAGCTTGTTACCTGTATAAAAGACACCTGTCCACAGAAGCAATCAATCAGATTCCAAACTCTCCACCATGGCCAAGACGAAAGAGCTCTCCAAGGATGTCAGGGACAAGATTGTTGACCTACACAAGGCTGGAATGGGCTACAAGCAGCTTGTTGAGAAGGTGACAACAGTTGGTGCGATTATTCACAAATGGAAGACACACAAAAGAACTGTCAATCTCCCTCGGCCTGGGGCTGCATGCAAGATATCACCTCGTGGAGTTGCAATGATCATGAGAACGGTGAGGAATCAGCCCAGAACTACACGGGAGGATCTTGTCAATGATCTCAAGGCAGCTGGGATCATAGTCACCAAGAAAACAATTGGTAACACACTATGCCGTGAAGGACTGAAATCCTGCAGCGCCCGCAAAGTCCCCCTGCTCAAGAAAGCACATATACATGCCCGTCTGAAGTTTGCCAATGAACATCTCAATGATTCAGAGGACAACTGGGTGAAAGTGTTGTGGTCAGATGAGACCAAAATGGAGCTCTTTGGCATCAACTCAACTGGCCGTGTTTGGAGGAGGAGGAATGCTGCCTATGACCCCAAGAACACCATCCCCACCGTCAAACATGGAGGTGGAAACATTATGCTTTGGGGGGGGGGGGGGTTCTGCTAAGGGGACAGGAGAACTTCACCGCATCAAAGGGATGATGGACGGGGCCATGTACCGTCAAATTTGGCTGAGAACCTCCTTCCCTCAGCCAGGGCATTGAAAATGGGTCGTGGATGGGTATGCCCACATGACAATGACCCAAAACACACGGCCAAGGCAACAAAGGAGTGGCTCAAGAAGAAGCACATTAAGGTCCTGGAGTGGCCTAGCCAGTCTCCAGACCTTAATCCCATAGAAAATCTGTGGAGGGAGCTGAAGGTTCGAGTTGCCAAACGTAAGCCTCGAAACCTTAATGACTTGGAGAAGATCTGCAAAGAGGAGTGGGACAAAATCCCTCCTGAGATGTGTGCACACCTGGTGGCCAACTACAAGAAACGTCTGACCTCTGTGATTGCCAACAAGGGTTTTGCCACCAAGTACTAAGTCATGTTTTGCAGAGGGGTCAAATACTTATTTCCCTCATTAAAATGCAAATCATTTTATAACATTTCTGACATGCGTTTTTCTGGATTTTTTTGTTGTTATTCTGTCTCTCACTGTTCAAATTAACCTACCATTAAAATTATAGACTGATCATTTCTTTGTCAGTGGGCAAACGTAGAAAATCAGCAGGGGATCAAATCCTTTTTTCCCTCACTGTATGGCTGTGAGAAGGCCTCCCCGTGTGCAACCCTTGGTGCTCGCTCACAGCCCTTGCCCCGTCAGATTGTGAGGCTAATTTGGGAAGCTTTGCCTTTGTGGGCACGTCTATGTCAATGGCACACCGTCATTCCCGTGAAGAATTTCGTCCGATACATTTTTATCGCAAGAGAAAATCAGATTGCATTGGATCACCTGACAGTGAATTGATGCGACTGTGACTTGATCCAGATAAGGTCACACGATGACTGTCTGATCAGACGACGTCCATTGATTACAATTGGCAAAAGCCAATCTTCTGAATGTTTAGAGGGAAAACAATGACACGTAAACAAATGTGTCGATAGACTCAGACTCGTAACGTTTACAAAGAGCGCTTCGAGTGGACGTGCATTCCAATCAATTTCAGATTTTTTAACATATGCAAGATGTTTACAAATTAAATGTTAATGTTGCAATTAGGCAAATTAAGGCTTTGGGTGGTGGGTGGGTTTGGGTGGATTTTGGTAGGTGGGTTTGGGTGGGTTGGTGGCCTTGGATTGGTGGTTGAGTGGGTGGAATTGGGTGGAATTGGGTGAGTGGGTTTGGGTGGAATTGGGATGGAGGGTTTAGGTGGGTTTGGGTGGGTGGTTGAGTGGGTGGGTGGGGTGTCAAGAGAGAGAGAACCAGGCTGGGCCAAGCGAGGCCCTGTAGGAAATTGGACGCTAGGGGGCCTCACTTGATTTGCTTTTACGAGTTACATTTAAAGCTTCAGGTCTCCGTTTTGTTGTTAAAAACAAGTTTTAATTTGCTTTTAGGAGTACACGATGATAGCTTGAAGTTATTTTAACTGTAAAGGAGAAACTTGCATTGTTACCCAAGCTGGGAATTAAACGCACGTCTCTCTTGCGTCAATGGGGTTCACCGCGTGCCCCTCTCATCGCAAGGAAACGGCAGTGGCTCTTTGCAAACGACCATAGTTAAATTGTTTAAAAATGTTCGTCTTTTTTACTATTTTAATTATGCTATAGACGTCACATCTTGAGATGTAGTATCAGTTTGAGCGCTCACGGAACAGTGAAGTTCTGCGTGTTAAATGATGGGTCTGAAGTAGATGACACATGATCACTTCTGAGATCTCTGCAAATGGCCTTTGTTTATTCACGAACTGGGGGGCAAGATTTCCGACATGCCCTGCCACTGTCCAGTGCAGAGCAGTAAAACTGGAATTTAAAAGTTCTCAAGAGCTGAAATATTGCTAAATTAGTTGAAAAATGAAACTTAGTATCGTTGTTGGCGAAGACCATCTACTCACGACATGGGAGGACCTGTTTAACCATGGGTGGCTTAAATACAAATTGGAACCCATGGTCTCAACCATGCTGGTTCCATATTCTGACCCCTGAACTACCTAGATACCCCAGGATTTGTGTTTTGTAAAATACGTACACCTTGTGAAAACAAATTTCCTGGTAACTTCATTGTTTTTTCTTTCATGAAAAAAAACATCAATGCATACAGCATAGTGTAAAAATACGCAGCCTTAAAATCCAATTATAATCAGGTGATTGGGATCAACATCTGACATTGACTTATCCCATCGGAGAAAATGCGGATCGAATCCAAATCAGCTCAAAATTGGCCTCAAGAGCTGATCCAACCCCTTTTGGTCAAATCCTGTCAGCCATACACCAATATGCCACTAGATCTGTACATAAAAATAAAACATGCACCACTTCATCTCAATGAAATTGGACCACCTGGTGAAATAGAAAAAGCGAGGCTGACGATCCTAAAAAAAGGGTTATGCCTTCATGCAACTGCCCCGTTACTCTGCTACTTAATTTAACATGCCTCTCTGTTCCGTGTGTTTAAGCTGTTACCCTTGTAGGCTGCCTGTGCATCATGTGCTCTCAAAACTCGTGCTTTCTGGGTATTTCCCTCGATGCTGTGCGGTGTAAACACGGCACCTTGGCACATGATGTTTTATGCTTTTTGCCCGCTGTTGTCACATCCATAAAGCATATTTTTAGAAGATTTTTAGCAATAAACTGGAAGCCACTGAAACTCTCCAAGGGGGAAAGAATGCGCAATAATTTACAGTTCTTGACTTCAACGTACAAAACATCGTTGGTATAAGAGGGACAAGTTGAGATCTGTGCTATGATGATGATGATGAAAAATCACATTGTATAATCTGCCCAGTATGATTGGTTAAACATTCTATATGGATAAGAGTAAAACATGTTGTAAAGTTACATTGTTTTGGACATGCATTTTTTATTGAACTTTAATAATTGGCAATCACAAGAACTTTGATTGCAATTGCACAGCTTTATTAAAGGTTCCATATGAAATTATTTGAAAATATGACCGATAAAATTTGCGTTAATCAACAAGTGTACAATAATATAATCTGCTATATTTCACCGAGTTCATTGCCTTCTCAGTGGATTCTGACCTGAACAAAGTGAATGGAAATGACATTGCACGTGCGAATTTTGTCATTCATTTTTGTTCATACAGATTCAATAACGGAAGTCAAGACTGACATTTATGTCACAAGTTTCGGGCCCGTTTCTGATACGGAAATGGTAAGTATGGGATGTTGAAATTAAGTAATTACTAATGAACACACACCGATGAAATAATGTTATGTTTTGTAAGTTTCATCTTTAAAGATAATGTTATTTTGCAGACTTGTATACCGCTGCAGCTGATAATATCTCTGCAATAATCAAGCAGCCGTTGTGATTTTAAACAATGTACATAGATGATTACGGAACAGCTATGTACCACGTGGTTCTAAAGGATGTAAAAAAACAACTCCAGTTCTGGGACATGCAACCTTAAACCACCCTCAACAAAATGTTTACGTTTCTGTACAACAACTTAATTTGAATTTGTTTTTCAACTTTGTTCGAGGCAACTTTTATTCCAATAATGAAATGTTATTTTACATCCGATTTTGTGTACTCTTTTCAAATTTATTCTGGCTCTATTTGGTTGTTTTTGTCCGGATTTCTGTGTGCCTGCGTTGTTTACGTGTTGGCTTGTCTCAATTTGTGAGCCAGGCCACTCTTGCAAATGAGACTCATCCTTGTTTCTTGAGCCACTCGCGTGGATTAAACAAAGCAATTTTGAAAGATCAAACACAAATAGGAATGGTGGCTAATCAGCAAAATGTAAATATTTAGAGTGCACAATGCCATGCCATTTTATTTGATGGAATGTAAAAAAAATCGAGTCTTTTGAAATGCTGAGATGACAAGGTTGAACATCAAGAGGTTTAGGCAAGAAAGCAACTGATGTTAACAAAAAAAACACTAAGAAAAGTCCCTCCACATGCAAAAATACACCTTTGTTTATGTAAAAACAAACATATTACGTGATATATTCTTAGCTCTTTCGGTAAAGTCACGTTGAAGGGAAACAATAAAATAATAAAATGTATGTAAAACAATAAAAAATTCTCACGACGTTTCGACCATAACACAAACGGTCGTCATCAGGTGTGAAAAAACCAACGGCAAGAAACATTTGAAAGAAGTGTCGGTTTACATTTCAAATGTTTCTTGCCGTTGGTTTTTCACACCTGATGACGACCGTTTGTGTTATGGTCGAAACGTCGTGAGAATTTTTATTGTTTTATATATTTTTATTATTTTATTGTTTCCCTTCAACGTGACTTTACCGAAAGAGCTAAGAATATGAATTACTGCAGTCACGAAAGCTTTGAACCAAAATATTACGTGTTATCGCATATAGATCAGAAACATAAACAAAAGGACATGGATAGCGTGCAAAGAAGCATGCCGAGGTGCACACCCGAAATTACGTTGAGAATTATAAAGGGGAACGTGGGTTTGAGAGAACATAAGCACATTTTATGCGTAATTTTCATTACCATACAGAAGTTGACAGGATAGAGAAGACGCAACTATGGAGAGATGCATGTTTAGGATTATCATGGAGAGACAGGATCATGTGGGTCAGGCGGCACACAAATTCACGATGTCAAATTGTTCTTCATTCATCAGTGGATAGATCATGGGTGATGATGATTTTGATGAGTGAGCAGGACCTACCCTGGTCTCTCTGTCCTTTCCCGGAGAGAGGTGCACACACCCGGGTAGGAAAGCTCGTTGAGCCAGGCCTTGTCCCGGGGGCACTCGACCTCCAGTGCATCTATGTTTAAAATTAACAAAGTTAATCAATAATTTAATTATAAACGAGATTAAACCACGTGTAATGCGATTATCTGTCCTCCTCCACTCTGCACACACATCACAATCTCTTCTGAGTATATCTACAACGTGTTATGGCCATGTTCTGTACTATTCCTCAAAGTTTATTACCGTATCTCGTCAACAAATTCTGAGCATCCTGCACATACACTTGTATTTAAGTCCTGCTGACTTATACAGAAGCAGCTTCTGCCTCAAACATCTTACCTGGTTAAAATAATTCTCACCTGCTTAAAGTAACGAACTTCGTTGTGTAAAATAAAAATCGTCACAAATCATGTCACCTTGCACAATGATTTGTAGAATGCACTATTAAACCAGCCACGTGAGTTCGATTCGTGACCACCACTAACACCAGTGGCCAGTCCTCTGCCCCCACTTTACCAACTCGCATTGACAGACGTGTTGTAACACAGTGAATCTCCCAACATCTGCAAATCCGATTACTTTCCCCACCCCGTGGGTCACGACAACTTTGATAATATCATCCATGTGGGCGAAAATCCTTACATCCGCAGCCCAAAACTCCAAAAAAGGTTTGTGGTAGCTCTCTTGAGGAAGTTCTTTGCCAGCAGTAGCATGGGAGATAATTTTCAGGGCTGCTTCTTTACCCTGTGTGTGTGTCCTCAAACACGAGTAATGGGGATCGGTGGTGTAGCGGTTAGTGCTATGCTGTGCTACAAACCCGGTGACCCGAGTTCGATTCCCCGCTCATGGCCAACACCAGTGACGATTATCCGAACTGGGCATGGGCATCACCGATGTCGACTCAGCCTCAAATTAGTACCTACTGCAGTGCATGAACATTGCCAAGGCGTGGTGCTGCTTCACCCACCTCCTCGAGTGCCGTTCCGGCCTTCATAGGTGCTACTCGGTAACAGCATTTGCCCCAACAGTCTGGTAAAGGTTATATGTGGGGGGGGATCTGTGTCTTTGTTTCAAACAGGAGTACACCATCGACATGTTTTTCCGACAATACTGGAAGGATGAGCGGCTGAAGTTCCAGGGGCCCATGGGAGTGCTGCCCCTCAACAACATGATGGCCAGCAAAATTTGGACACCTGACACCTTCTTCTATAACGGGAAGAAGTCTGTGGCCCACAACATGACCACGCCGAACAAGCTGCTCAGGATCATGGAGGATGGCACCCTCTTGTACACCATGAGGTGAGAGTCATGAATTTGTTCACCCGCTGCCATGCTGCTGAGATGAGTTCAACGTGCTGTAGCCGGTGCATTGGAGATGTGTGTCCATTGCTTACACTGGCAGTTACAACTTGATGGTAAACTACGCAAATGACAACATCAACAAAAAAACTCACGTTTATTTAAACTTTAATGAAGGACTGTTATTTGTTTTTCCCTCATCAGTGGAACGTAATGCTAATTTGCTTAAAATGCCTTAAGGCGTTGCCATTCTTTCAGATGGAGGCCCGGTGGTTTGAGGTGAACTTGATTGATTCATGGACACTTCTGGCCGAAATTGTGGCATTAGGGTGGCAGGGCCGTAATGAAATGATGGACCATGATCATGCTAAAACTGGTCTACATTTGCACGATGAAATACACTTTAAACGTCCAAGTGGTTTCCCACTCCAAGAAGCTTGGTTCAGTGCTCATCCCCTGATACAGCTGTGAGCCAATGGTCCATATTCCACATTCGTATGGCAGGGGCGAATTATTCCATAGGACATCTACTGCTGACTCCACAAAGCGGTACTCAATTTATTGACCCTAGGAGAATAAAGAGCAGTGTCAAATCAGCCAAGATTTAATCTCGCAACCTTCCCCATTGCAAGCTGCGCCCTCTAAAAACAATGCTACCTTTCCAGATCTGATAATGCTTTATGGCTGAACATTTTAAAATGGTGGCACCGTTATTTTCTAAGCTGCTGGCTAGCCCAGGTAACGATATATACGCACAAACAAAAACATTATATTGGTGCTTACAAGCCACAATGTTACGTGAGAATTAGACTGTATTATATAAATACATCTATATTTGATCTAACCTTGTATTTGATAAACCACAGCGCATTCCCTATGCAAAGTCCAAGATGACATTTTGTCCTGGTTGAACTAATGGAACAACACTGTAAGAGATGAGCCATTAAAGCAATATCCTCATGTATACAACAAAAACAACCACTATTCGCCACTAAGTGGCGGTGGCATCACCACGGTGCTTGTGCCAGGCTATGTGCACGTTAAGGCCACGTGAAGTGTCGAACGCCCACTGGCAGGAGGTCACGTGACAGACCCAGGTGCAATGGGTTGACTGACTGAGATGACTGGCCAATGCACCACATGTGCCCCCTACTGTATCATGCATGCACGCACATAGGCACAGTCATATTGTCATCATACTAATGACTATTGGCGATCACTGACATGCTGTGAAATATATACTGTAATTTACATTTAGCCAAACAATCACAGCACGACGTTTCGATTGCAACATAAGCAATCATCATCAGGTGGGAAAACCACAGCAAGAAAATAGTTTTTGCTGAAGTGGGAGAGAGCACAGCACGTCTCCCCACCTTGTTTGCACACTGACGGTGACAACATACGGCCATGTCCTTACAAGTTTTGATTACGAATGATTGCGATTGTGTTCTACATAGTAGTTGTGTTCTACATAGTTCTACATCGTAGAACTATGAAAGATTCCCATGAACATATTTAGGTTTCGTGGACAGGTATGCTGCACCTTGTGATAAATGCACAACTCTAATGATGACAATGAGAAGCCTGGATCAGAGAGATTGACTTTACAGACGTGAGGTTGATCGTTGAAGCCTTAGTTGGGCTTAACTCAGCCGATCATCCTTCTGGGGTCAGTTAAATGAGTATTGTGTTGTCTGTTGGAGGTTGACCTTTAGATAAGTTCGCATCCACCACAAGAATGTGGAGTTTCCGCAGTTGACTTAGGACCACCAACACTAAGGATTAGGACCCTTTGACTCATCACACTTCATCTGCTTCAACACGATGGGTTCAGAAAAATAATCCAGTTTCCTTGACCTTGGTAATTGATAGGAGGTGAGTATTTTTCTGCATTCCTCTCATTGAAGTGTCCTCTTTCACTTGAATCGGAGTTTTCTCGAACGTATTCACTCTGTTTTTGTAATAACGTGCCCGAGACTTGTGTAGAATTATCACATAAAGAGCACGTGAGTTGTGACAATTGTTCCATCTCATAGGACTTGTGGTCGTTTGATGCTGCATGGGATATAGTGACATTGGCATGTGGCAGTGGACATTTCCACAATTAACAAGGAGGTAGCTGAGTTTAACATCGGTAATGTATACATGAGCTTATTCGCCTAAAATAATTAATAACACAACACAAATAAATGCATAATGTATTGTTTTGTAAGGGCCAGTGGCGTGTTTTAATTTCGACACAGAGGACATTACGCATGCAGTGGACCTCACTGCTGCAACCTCCATCGCGTTCTATGAGCAGGCATTTGCATTGGACACATTCGCAAAGGCGGTGCGGTTAACGTGTCCTCGTAACTGCCTGTTCTTCACCTAACCACGTGACCCGCGCACACTGCAGTGATTTTACACACCAGGGAGGTCACGGTTGCGCCGCAAATGCAGTGGCATTGTCGGCATGCCACGTGCACGTCATTTGGATTTTGCCGCCGTTTACATATTGCCAATTTTATTAGGGGTGACATGGTCGCAGATTGCTGCAGAAGTTGGTGGTTCGCATCCAGCAGGCCGCCCTAGTCATGACTGCCGGTGTATTAGCCACAAAATGTCCACTGTCATCTTTGTTTTATTTTACACCTAAATCTGTCCAGCCCGTCTCAGAAGAGTTTTAAACCTTCAAAAAACACTTTCAACGGCTGCATTGGGCAGTGTCACAGAGGCAACAATAATGCCCATCGTTTACCCAGGAAATCCTTGCTGAGTCTTAATACTCCATTTGTCAGGAGGGTCCTGATACATTCGGATATTTGGCTTCTTGTGGGAGAAACTAAAATGTAACTATTTTTCTTTTACCAGGTAAGGGCCACTGAGCTGCTATCTAGCTCTTTTTCAGAAGCGACCTGGCTATCAAAAATGATGGATTATCATGTGGAAATGTAGAGCAGCCAAATACTGTAAACCCACGTTTCTAAATGTGAAGGGAAAAACCGGCGGACCCAGAGAAAATTCCACATGACCACGGGGAGAACATGCAAACTCCAAATATATAGAATGCGTCAGGGTTGGGATCGAACCTACGACCTCCTGTATATCGCCACCGTAACACCCGAAATTGTAGTGACGAAAAAAAACCCGCCACCACCAGTCAAGAGAGAGAAAATTCACACACCCTCTCCGTCAGCGGCCCGCGACATTTATAATAAATGTCAGGCTTCAATTTGTTTCCAACAAGTTGCAATATGAACCACTTAGGAACTCGCCTGTTGATCTTCTCAGAAGACGACTCTCATTAGGATGTTGAGTGTCTGAATAAATCAAAATCTTGCCATCATCACCTTTCTAGCAGAAAGTTGGTACTTGAGTTTGTTTCGTCACTAGAAAGCCTGGGCGTTTTCGTCACTGCTTATGACGCTTACTTTGGCTCGCAATGACGAATCCGAGTTGAATTGGTGCCAATGATGAGAGGCAAAAAAAATATTTGCATGAGCATCAGAGGCTGACATTCGTGAATTCGGTTTGATTTATTGTCTTCTGTTAAATTTTGGCAGTAAAATGACAAACTTTATGGGACATTCAAATTGTCATGGGTTATTAAATGAACTGTTCCCACACTTATCCTTCCAAATGCTGATATGTGCTTAATTGCTTCTCTCATGTCGTTCAAATTCAACCTTGCAGCATGAGCGACATTAACAGGAGTGGCATCAACCGGCTTAGCACTTTAGCGGTCATGTTCCAACAATTGCGAACATTGCCGTGATGCATACAGCTCTGGCCATGCTGCAGCCCTATTCTCAGACAACAACCATTCGTATAAGTATCGCACCTTTAAAGAGATACATCCCAAGTAGGTGAAGGAGAACATCATGGAAGAAGGCGAAATGGGAAGGGGGAGATGAGGGCAGTGGCTTTGCGCAGTGGGGGAGAGAGAGAGACACCGCGGCATGTGCCGCGTCCATGTGGGCGGCGCAAATGGTGCCCAAAGAGCCCCCAGAGGCAGTCCCAGGGGCAGCACCGAGTAGTCCGAGGGGCAGCACCGAGGAATCACAGGTGCAGGGCCAGGCGGTCCCAGGGTCAGCGCAGTGGAGTCTCAGGGGCAGCACTGAGGAGTTCCAGGGGCATCGCCAAGGAGTCCCAGGGGCAGCGCCATGGATTCCCAGGGGTGGCGCTGAGGAGTCCCAGGGGCAGGGGGAGACAGTCCCAGGGGCAGCACCGAGAAGTCCCAGGGACAGCACCGAGAAGTCCCAGGGGCAGCGCGAAGGTCTCCCAGGGGCAGCACCGAGGAGTCCCAGGGGCAGCACTGAAGAGTCCGAGGGGCAGCGCCGAGGAGTTCCAGGGCAGCGACGAGGATTCCTAAGGGCAGTGCGGAGAAGTCCCAGGGGCAGTGCCAGGTAGTCGCAGGGGCAGTGCCGAGGGGTCCCAGGGGCAGCGCCAAGGAGTGTCAGGTGCATCGCCAGGCAATCCTAGGGGGAGTACCGAGGATTCTCAGGAGCAGTGACACACAGTCGCAGGCGCAGCACCAAAGAGTCCTAGGGGCAGTGCCAAGAAGTCCGAGAGGCATTTCCGAAAAGTCCCAGGGGCAGCGCCAAGGAGTGCAAGGGGCATTGCCAGGCAGTCCCAGTGGCAGAACCGAGTAGTTCCAGGGGCAGCACCAGGGAGTCCCAGGGCCAGCACCAAATAGTCCCAGGGGCAGTGCCGAGGATTCCAGGGGCAGCACCGCGGGGTGCCAGGGGCAGCTCCAGGCAGTCCCAGAGGTAATGCCAAGCAGTCCCAGAGGCAGCGCCAAGTTCTCCAAGGGGCAGCACCGAGGAGTCCCACGGACAGAGCCAGGCAATCCCAGAAACAAAATTGAGGAGTACAAGGGGCAGTGCCACGGAATCCTAGGGGAAGTGCAAAGGACTCCCAGGGGCAGTTGCAGGCAGTCCCAGGGGAAGTGCCAGGCAGTCTCAGGGGCATTGCTAGGCTATCCCAAGGGCAGCACCGACGAGTCCCAGGGGCAG